GGTAGAGAGGCTGTTTCCGATAGACCCTCGGCTCCCTCCCTCCAAGAACTTCTCACCTTACTCTTGGGGTGACTCGAACTCACAACTTCTTAGTTGGAAGTGGAGGGTGCTCACTACTAGGACTTAGTGTCCTGATTTTTTTAGCTGCTAATTTGAAATTCAGGACTAAGTGTCATGAATTTTTGAACTACTAATTCAAAATTCAGGACATAAGATTCGAACTTCAGGACATAATTTTCGAACTTTAGGACACGATATCCTGAAATTTGAATTTTGAGGTTTAAACTCTAGGATATCGTGTCCTGAAATTTGAGCGAAATTGGCTAATCTTTAAATACATTTTAAATTGTGGATATATTTTAAACAACATACTTAAAAGTGGCTACATGGTATCATTTCCACTAACTAGGCTTTACTGTCATAAAGGGAGAAAGTGGACAAAGAGCCATTCTTAGGGATGCTATTTAGGTATTAGCCATTACTCAATTTGTTCTGAAAATTTAAACTAAAAATCTTAATTTAGGACAATCCATGACATTTTCTGTCCAAAAAAATTGAACTACAAAACTAAAATTCAGAATATATAAGCTCATTCCTAAATAGCAGCCCTTTAGGGTGACTACCTGGTGTCATCTCCACGTAAAGGCCGGAGAGAGAATAGTTCAATTTACAGGAACTTTGCATTCTGTGCCAATAGGTCCTGCAATTTTATTTTATTTTGGGCAAAATACGAAATTTGCTGGCCGGTCGAAACTAATTGTATAAAATATATGTATTATACATATTTGTTAGCTATTATTTTATGGAGCAGCTAAAAAAAAATATTTCTCGTTTTCCCCGCCAATAGGCCCTGCAATGACTTTTGAATAATTGGAACAAAAGATAAGAAATAAGGTTAACCTTATTTAGCCAGAGCCCCTAGGGTAGGGCTGCGCATTTGCATCAGATATTCGAGAATCCGAACCGATCTATTATATTCGGATTTTTGGATTTTGAATTTCGGATATTCAGGTGGGATATGAGTTAGGTTTTTTAAAAGTTCGAATATTTGGATCGGATTCGGATTGAAATTATTTTAATCTGATCCGAACCGAAATCTGAATTATATGGATATGTATAAATATTAAATTTACATTTTAGGGTTAAGTCTTCTCATTTCATCTGCCTCTCTTTAGACTCCTCTTTTTTTAGTTTATATCGAAGTCCCTCTCTCTCTAAGCTCTCTTCAGATTGCTTTGCCCGCTTCTCTTAAGTCTTATGTGTGTGCCTCTTATTCTCAGACTTTCCTTCGAATCGACGGACAATGATGCTTCTCCCTTATTAGACATTTATTTGAAATTTCAAGTTATTTTATTTTGCTATGAAACTTTTATTTTGTCTATTGTTATGAAAGACATTTGTTGCCTTTCAATTTAATAGAATGGTGAATATCAGTAGCCTTAAAAAGTGCAGTAGCCGATTAGATTATTTGTAGCCTTAATAAGGCATACAATCCGATCTGAAAATGCGAAATATTTATTTGATCCAAACTTTAAAATCCGATCCGATCCAATTAAATTCGGATTGGATTCAGATTGCATTTTATAAAATTTGAAATCCGATTTTATAATCCGAAATTCGATTTTACAATCCGATATATGCTCAATCCGATCTGATCGATGCACAGTCCTACCCCTAGGGCCTCTCTTAAGGCAGAATTAGGAGACTGCAGAATGGTTGGAAAAGTTTCTTCAAAATATTTCCTTTGAACGGAGATATTTACTTACACCTTGCTACCATGATGGTAATAAGTTGAATTCACTGCTTAGTTTAGATTCTCTTTCATTTCTGAAATATTCTATCTTAGAGCCTACAAATAAAATTGGCGAATCTTGTAAAGCTAACCATATCTGCAAACAAATCACATGGATTTCAATATCAGTATTGGGCCTTAAATGTTTTGGTGCTCCAACGCCTCAGAAAAAGCATATATTCGTACATGTCTAGTTATTAAACCCCACGTAGGCCTTTAACTGGAAAAGGAGTTGGTGAGAAATTCTTATTGTGAGGCTCAAAGCAATATGCCAAAATTCCCACACCCACACCCTCAACCAAAAACCTAAACAGTACCCCCATAATGTCATGTTTGCTAATTGGACATGTAAAAGAAAGGGTGGTTAGTTGATTTTACAACTTAAAACTTTATATTTTATTGTTGTTATAGTAGTTAACAATGTGGGACATTTCAACCTGAAACTTCCATTTGATGATATATTCAGTAAGTTGGAACTTATAATCACTATTTTGTGGTGAAAAGTAGAAGGCGTTCTAATGAATTTGTTTTTTGGTTTAGTGTTTGTAAGATTACAAATTGTAATCTTATATGTACTGAATTGTACTAATGAAACGATTATGTGTAGTCCTCTTCTATGCTTGCTTTAATGGATAATTTTTTCACAATCTTTAAATATATAAAATTGTACTAATGAAACAATTATGTGTGCTACCAATATTTTTCTTTCTGTTTCTGATAGTAGGATTCATAGTTGTGTACCAATTTGTATGTATATGGAATTTATCAGCAATATGATATATCCTAATAATGAATTTACCTTTCTAAGTAGTACCTTATTAGGATGAAGAAAAAAATACAGAAAAATCAATATTTTTTTAGAGTATTGTTGAAGTACTTGCTAAGACTCATATGAAATTTTCTATGTTCCCCGTAGCTTCAAGGGTCTACGAAATTGCTCCAATCATTTAAATTTTACATAAATGATTATGTATAGTATACATATTTAACTTTCTATTTCTGAAAGTTGGATTCACAATTGTGCACTAATTCCTATGTAAATATTGATCTACATTCAAATTTAAAAAATTGATTCTTAAATTAGTACTTAGTTGACTCTTTCCGTTAATGTTTTTATGCAACATGTTAGTTATTTCAACTAATCAAATGTTGAATGAATGGGTTGGTGAAGCTAAGATTAATTTTTTTAATCTATCCATAAGAACTTAAAAATGCAAATACTCTTATATCACAAAAAGTCACGAAAAGAAAAAAAATCAACTTCACATGTTTTTTTAAAATTCTAAAAGGTAACGAAATCAATTCCCTAAAGTGTTGGTTTTATACTGCAAATCAGCTAAGTATTTTGTTTATTTCTAGGCTTCTAGCTTCTAAAACTAAAAATACCATCCGTTTAGGTAATTCGTAAAATAAAAATAATCCAAAAAGTTGTATGGATTTGACTTTCGGGGTGCTTTTAGATCCTAACAATACTATAGTTGAAGTTAAAATTAATTTAAAACAAATGATCATTTTCTAAAAAGATATTCTTCCAAAGGTAATCACCTTCTTCCATTAAAAGCAAATAAATAATGTTAGTTGAAAACTTGAAATTTTCACCCTGTAAACTCGCTTGCAAAGATGCTCCTAGCTTCTTTTGGACTACTTACCCTTTTGCACAAGGTCAAACACGCATGTCACTTATACATGGTACTTTCCCAAAACCTAGCAGTACAATTTAACACATGAGATAAAAGTTAACGATAATCCATTCAAACCTACCATACTTTACATTTATTCTACGCTTATCCTTATTCAAGCCACCCCTTAACATGCGATAAGATGAGTTGACTTTGTCATCTGAGCTTTAATTTTAATATTATTGTATAGTCAGAGACGAATTCAGAATTTAAATCTTATGGGTTCAATTTTAAGATTTTTAACATTGAACCCATTATATTTTTAAAGTTATGGGTTCATATCTACTATTTTTGTAATTTTAATGAATTTTTACATACAAATTTTTATTCCGCGTCAAAAGTTATGGGTTCATATCTACTATTTTTGTAATTTTAATGAATTTTTACATACAAATTTTTATTCCGCGTCAAAAGTTATGGGTTCATATCTACTATTTTTGTAATTTTAATGAATTTTTACATACAAATTTTTATTCCGCGTCAAAAGTTATGGGTTCAATTAAACCCGTAGCCACTAAGCTACATCCGCCTCTGTGTATAGTACTATTTGACCTCTTCAACAGAGGTGGATGTAGTGTATCGACATTAGGTTCAACTAAACCTAGTACATTTTACGCGAAGCATAAATTTGTGTGTAAAAATGTACTAATATTACAATAAATAGTAATATGAACTCATAACTTTAGAAATACAATGGGTTTAATGCTAACAATTTTAAAAGTTGAACTCATAAAATTTAAATTTTAGATCCACCTCTATTCCTCAACCTCGCGGCGTGGCGGAGTCAAAACTTTCACTTAAGAAATTCTGAATATAAAAAAAGTAAACACAAAAAAACTAATGGAATTTAACATATATTTAATATATGTATATTAAAAAAATTGACCTATATATTGGCTTTTCCATTTTTCCATACGGCTCAACCTCGTGGAAATAGGCTATTGCAGAAATGTAATGTAAGACTACGCACAGACCCCGTGCATAACAAGAGTTTATTGCATCGGACTGTCCTTACATAATGCTCAACCCTTTAGTTATATACAAATATACCCCTCCTTATTTGCTGGAAAATGGAAATGCTGAAAAACTAGTCCCATATTGACCTACCTCCTAAGGCGGCGGCAATTGGCGTAATTTACCTGCCTAAGCTACCACCACTCCCGCGTCCGCAACACGCCTTCTTGTATGTGAAGTAAGCATTCGGTGTACAGTTGACATATTCCTCCCTCCTTTTTTCTGGCATAAATACTCATCTCCCCCCATTCAACAATTCTCTCATACCAAACTCAATTCAACTTTTTGTAAAACCCCTAATTAGATAGCTAATGAGCAACGTTCCAAGTTCTTTAACAGACTCTTCCCTCAGCCTCTTCACTCTAGCCATCTCTTCTTCTGATCCTTGGCCTTTCTCTCTCTGATCGTTTTCTTGTAATATTTCCAATATCTTTCTGCCTTAACTAGCAAGAAAGCCACCACTCTAAAGAATTTTATTAATTTTCTTTGATTGGATCTTATTAATTTCGAGAGAGATGGGAAACGTAGACGAACGCCATCATCATCATTCAAGATTCCATGTTCAATTACATTTGCCTTTTCACCTTCATCATCATGGGCATGAGAAGGAAGAATTGAAGGACATCCCAAGAGGATGTGTTGCAGTATTGGTAGGTCAAGGAGAGGAGCAGCAGAAGTTCGTAATACCTGTGATGCACATCAACCATCCTCTGTTCGTACAGTTGTTGAAAGGAGCAGAGGAAGAATATGAATTTCATCATAATGGTCCCATTAACATCCCTTGTCATGTCGAGGAGTTTCGCTACGTTGAAGGTATCATAGACAAGGATCACCACTTGTGGACGTGCTTTAAGGCCTGATTTTTATTTATTTTTTTGTATAGTATATATATAGGTGCTTGGGTTTCTTCTTTTAGGTGATCCATGTTTTATAATCATCTAAATTTCGGTCTCTTGCCTTTTGTTTAGTTTACTTGATTGTATTTGTTTGTGTACCCATGACGATGACGAAAATTGAATGAAATACAGCTGCGCTACTACACTTTTCTTCTTTCTGTAAGCGATTTTGAAGATTAAATAACTTTGTATGCTTTATTTCGATATTAAAGACTTAAGTATTGCTATGAGGAAGGGACAGTTGGGAATTGCGACTATTATCCCTCGACGACATCGGCGGAGCTAGAAGCTTGCATGAGGAGAATTCCGTAGCTTTTAAAATTATTATTTAAAATTCTGTTATTTAAAATCCACAATTATAAAGTTAAAATCTTTAACGCCTCTGTTTGACGGTGAGGTTATTGACCACAGAAGCCTGATTGTTCCAACGACAGCTGGTGAAAGAAGTTGAGACAAAAAGGGAGGACATTTTCAAAGTATTCGCCAAATGCTTCTTCTTATTTTACAATGTTTTTCTATACTGCGAATAAAGCTCCATTTTGATTAGAAATTGACCCCTTCTGATGAGGTATATGGACGAGTCAAAAGACTAAAACTAAATTAACATAATTTTGGATTAAATTGCGTATAGATTCTCTAGTTAGGCTACTTACAATATAAAAATACGCCTTAAATTTATGAATCTCTAGCTAGGCTACTTACATAAACTCTTTAGTCAAAATTCCATATGTCAATAATGATTGAAGGTGCTACAGAGAGGATGATGTATACCTAAAACCACCCTGTATGAAAGCACAATAGGACGGTGAATTGTAGCCGATTTTAAAATTTAGTTCACTAAGAGAGGTATTAGTCGACTAAACGTTACAGTGGCATCAATCGCAGCAGAATTAAATTTCGCAGACAGAAAAGTAAAGGAGGCACAATAATTTTTACACTGGTTCAGTACCGGTGTGGTACCTACGCCCAGTTCCCTTATGTCACAATGGTTCTCTTAGATCTTCAGTAAGTCTTTACAATCGTGATGGTTTTAGTACGTTCACCACCAACGATATATAGCAACAATGTTTTTTCTAGTGTTGACACAACTCTTGTTTTATTTTCTAACTCTTCCTATCTTTTGCGAAACTTGTAGACTCGAGAATACAGTATTTGTACTAAGAACTAGAAAGGTGTAAAAACAGATGTGAAGTTGCGTAATCTTCTTTGTCCTTCTACTTCTTCTTTTATATTGCTCGATGAGTCTTCTGATTTCTCTTTTCTGGGATCACACAGCAGCAATGATTGGAGGTCTTACCTTGTGAGGTATAGAATTCTAAGAGTGAGACCCAAGGGTAGCCTCATGAATCTAGCTTGAGAGGTGTGACCAGATTCATTCTTAGTTTGAAGATTTGGTTCCTCCAATTATCCTTGATTAGAGCTTTCACAGATTGCCCTTTGATTTGCTCTCTATCCTTAATTGGCTCTCTTTGCTTTCTTGCACGCTTGAGAATATTTAGCAAGTCTAATTGATTGACTTTCCTTCCGTGTTCTTTGATTGATTGATTGATTCTCTTTCCATTTGATGCAGAGTTCGAAGGACATAGCCGTTGGCTTCCTCTAATTTACTCGTAGGATTTTCTTTCCTTTCATTCATCAGCGCTATTGCGAATCTGCACACAAAGTGAGATGACATTAGTCAAGGCTCTTTTGATTATTGATCATTATTAAAATTCTAAACCTAACAATCTCCCCATTTTTTTATGATGACAATAATCCAAAAATGTAACGACCCAACTGTCGGTTTGAGAATTAACGTTCCGTTTAGCGACTTAATGTCCCGAACAATTTCGTAATATGTATTATGACTTACGTATGCGGTCGAGTTTGGTTCCGGAAGATTCGAAATTTTATTGAAAGAACAATTCTTATTTTTGAAGTTTAAATGAAAAGAGTTGACCGTAGTTTGACTTTTGAGCAAACAACTCCGAAATGAAATTTTTATGGTGTCAATAGTTTCGTATGGTGATTTCGAATTGAGGCGTATGTCCAGATTTGAATTTGGAAGTCCATAGGACAATTCGACGCATTTTTGCGAAAGTTGGAAAATGGAAGATTTTAAGAAAAATATTGACCGGGAGTTGACCTTGATGTATCGGGCTTGGACTTAGATTTTGGAAATTTGAATAGTTTCGTTATGTCATTTACGACTTGTGTGCAAAATTTGAGGTCATTCCGAATCGATTTGTTATGTTTCGGCACAAGACCAAACTTAGGACGAGAGTATATACATACATTTATCAAATGAAAGATTTTCGAGTCTAATTTCTAACGCTTCAAACCGTTCGTTATTTGGACATTTCTGCAAGAAGTTATGACCAAATTACCAAAGGCTGGCAAAGGAGACTGCGGATGCGAAGCATCCGGGGCTGCATCCGAGAGAAGGGCTGGTAGTGAAGTGCTGCCATAGCATCCGGGGCAGCATCCGAAACCCAGAAATCTGGGCCTATAGATACAATTTCAGGGTTCATTTTTCCCACTTCACTTGGACGGATTTTGTAGCTCTTCTCCACTCACTCAAGACCACCAACTCCTCTCTTCTTCAAGGTAAGCAATCCCCATTATATCGGTATGAAATTCCATCATTTCTACACTAGTATTGATGAAATCTATACAAAAAATACTTAGATCTTCAAGAAATTTCTTCAAGAACTCAAAGGAGGGTTTTGCAAGATTTCTTCCAAAAAGGTAATCATTCACCCTTAGACTTACATGTATGGATTTATTATGAGTATGTGAGCAAGAAATAAGTATTAACACTTATTGGATAGTGTTTGGAAGCCATAAATACTTAAACTAGATTATTGGGTATTGTAGAGATTTTTTAATGAATTAATTAGCAACAATTGGGTAGATGTGAGTTCATTGATGATTTTAATGGTGCTAAAGAAGGTTGTTTGTAGACAAAGGATGGTTTAGTATCTCTTGTTGGTGGGAAGGAGGAATTGTTGGATGAAGAAACACCATTACTAGAGGTAGTAAAATGCTATGTACTCTAGGTGTTTGATAAAATGCCTGAATGACCAAAAATCTGAAAATTTATTTACTAATATTGGTGAAATTGTGTTGCATTATTGTAGATTGAAATTTTTTTAGTGTGATGGACCATCGTAGTATTATTAAGGAGCGAATTTCAGATTTGAGCCGTCCGAAGGTGGCTTCACTCGCGAAGATCATTTAAAGCATTGACTTAGTTTCGTCGAGGTAAGTATCTTGCCTAACCTTGAGTGGGGGAATTACCCCTTAGGCATTGAGTCTTATGTGAAGATTGTATAATTGAAAACCATGTACGCGAGGTGACGAGTACATACTTGGTTTATATGTGCAAATTACATTGGTTGAAATTCGTAGACGCGCTTATGTATTAAATTGAAAAATTGTTGGAACATAGTAAATCCTTTATCTGTCATGCCTAAATCCTTATTTGTTGAATTTATTTTTATATGATAATTTGGTGTGATTGCCACCTTGAGTTTTATGTGAATCCCGTATTTTTGTTGAGTTGATATTTCCTGGAGATAATTTCATTATGGATTAGTTATTTGCAAATAATTTATTAAATAAATTTAAAAATGAGGCATTAATCTATTTGCCAAAAAAGTGGATTTAAAGAAGGCGTTGTTCCTTGATGAATTACTTTTCAGTTCATGTTATTGAAATTGGTATTGAGTTATAAAGGTCGTAAATGATATTTGAGACAAAATGTTAAATTGTGAAATATTATTTTGTTGAGTTGTTCACTCCCCGGATATTTTTGTTAAGATTTTGTGCACATTATGGTCGAGCCATGGGCTCCTTATTGTGAAAAATAATGTATTGTTGATTTATGTGGCAAGTTGTGATATTTGAGCACTTGATGTACAATTTGTGATATGTTGTAATATTTGAGCACTTGATGTGCAATTTATAATATGTTGTGATATTTGAGCACTTGAGGTACAAGTTGTGTTATGCTGATAATCGGTGAGCACTTGAGGTACAAGTTGTGTTATGCTGATAATCGGTCACTTGAGATGCGAATTATGATATATTGTGATATTGATATACATGCGGTGGTATAAGGTCTGGGTGTTGAAACGCATGCGGTGAGATAAGGGGGGGCTTGATATGCGTGGCTAGTAGGAGAACTACTAGAAGCCATGCGGTGTGATAGGGGTGGCTAAAATGCGGGATGCTATTTCGGAAAAAATAATTTTAAAAACTAAATGTGAAGGCTCCCGCTGTGATATAAGGAAAGATTGAAATTTATTTATGATTTAGAATTGCGATGCGGTACCTCGGGAGTTCCCTTTGTAGAAATTTATTTATGATTTGGGACTACGAGGCGGTACCTCGGAAGTGCCCTTTGTTGATATTTCTCTATGGCTGCACTTGCCTTTGGTTATTTTATTTTTCTGTGATATGTAAATTCTTGTGTTCTTCCGTGATGTATTATTTAATTTTATTATGTGTTTTGTATTCCTTGTTATATTGTGTTGGCTTTGGCTCTTTGTACAAGACTTTAAGGATTTGTGTTTCTGGTTTTTACTGATTTTTGAGGTTTGAGTTGTTTCGAATAAAAGAAATTGCTATTATGTTTTAATTTAATAAATTTTCCATCCAAATCAATAGCTATCGGATGCTTCATTTTAATTGAAATGTCATTTTCTTCACCCAAACGAGTTCAAAAATAAACTTAATTCTTTGTTGATTTCTTACTTGGTTTAAAAATTATAAACTTATTTATTGAAAATAAATTGATCCTGCGGATATTATATACATTGATATTTTGGTACGTGAGTTGTCCGTGCGGTTGTAATAGAGATATGGGCACGAGGTGCCGTAAAAATATGAAAGTGGGCTGAGACCCATATTTTATGATTATGTAATGAGGTGTCACAGAGTGAATTTTAATTGAAAGAATTATACTCGAAGGATATTTATTT